TCAGACAACCTTGAGAAGATGCAATTATTAACTTTAGACAGTAATAATGTCGTTCTATATGTCATTACATCTAGTATTTCCTAGAATTGTAAGATAATCGTAGTTTTTCACAATAGTATATTCATTTTCATTCCTATCTTATTGGCTCCAACGGCACCTATATGATAAATTACATATATAGTATTAGCGAATATCTTTGATGTATGAATTATATATATCATTGAACGGGAAGAAATAAACCAAAGTAATTTACTTGGACGAACTGAACTATAACTACGTGTATAGGAAAGAGAAGAACAAAATATCTTGTATAGGTTATCTGATATTCATTTTATTCGTTTCTGACAAAAATGATAAATGCATCGGTTGTATGTTCTCTCCTCACAGAGAAGTTTTCTCAATCTACAGGATCGAGAAAAATTAGTCTTCAATCTCCATCAGCACGTGAAGAAGAGGTTACCAATCATTTAGCTGAATTATTAAATACAATTATCAACTGTCATGAGTTTACTGTAGAAAGTGAAATTTCTCTTGATTACATTTCCGACGATTTAACCGAAGATGAAATTGATCAATATGCTGTATCAGAAGACTCTGAATTAGATCCTGATTTCAACGACACGGACAACGACGACAGTGATGATCTTCTTCAAAAATTTTCTTTAGATTATATGAAAAAGGTTATTGAATATTATGATGAAAGAAATCCGTTGACAGGAAAACGCCGTCGGTCTTGGAAGGGTGTGAAGCGTCGATTTAAACGTATTACACATTCATCACATATATCTCGTTTTCGTGCTTATATTGAAAAGGGAGGAACGAGAACGCAAAAATGGGAAAATATTAATAATTATGTTTATCATAAATTTGAACAAGCTCGAGAATCTAATCTTCCTGTACATGATCTCGACTTACGTCGCTGGGGCTTAGAAAAAGCTAAACAAGAATTATTCCATGAGTTTACTGCTTCCGAAAAATGGTTGTTTAATTTTAAAATAGAGCACAACATATGCTCGAGAAAAGTAACTAAAGTGAGTAACTTATCTCTACTATTTTTAATAGAGTAATCACTTTTTTGAAAACTACATATTATCTATATCTAAACTTGTCGGACCACTTTTCCTTTGTTTAAAAGAACCCGCTGGTTA